TTTTCATTTGTTAATAGGGGTGTTGTGGCTTAAAAATGCCTGAACCGATCAGAAGAGATATACTATTATTGTCATCTTGGTCTCAGATAATTCAGGTAATTTTAGATTCTATGATTTTTCTTGTTTCTAGTTTCTTATTAGTTAGTTTGCTTATCTTTTCAAATGGTAATCCTCTATTGTATTTTGAATTTTTTATTTTAATTTTTGGACAGCTAAATTATGTGAAATCCTTTCTAGGAAATCTGGGATTCTGTGTACATATGGAGGTTGGTTTTCGCCCTTTTTTACCATCTGAAATTCTGGCTCTCCAAAAAGTATAATATCCTTTATAAACTCATTCTGTTTATGAAACAGGGAAATGGAAAACTCCAAGATGCATTTGAGTTAAGACCAACTGGAACTTGCATGCCAGTTGAAAAATTGTACGTACCTACTGTCAAAGAGGTTCGTTGCTTCTCTTTTCTCTAACCGAAACTCCACGTGTATCTTGAAGATTTCTATATTTACAAGTATGTTTTCTAAGTTTGTAACTGGGACAATATCTTTAATTCTTACAGGTCTCTGTTAGTTACTTTTTACCGAAGGAGAGAGATTTATCACACTTGACAAAGGAAGAAAGCAAGAAAGAAAGGCTTATGGTACGCTTTTTATTAATTTGTTTGCGTACTTATTTTCCACTGAAATTCATTCATAAATATATCTACTCGTGTTCAAATGGATGTAAAGTTTCTTAATTTAGCTATATTAATACTTACATCCTTGCGACTTCTCTGCAGAGATTCTGTCTATTAGACAAGGCAAGGACACAATTGATGAACAAAAATCGAAATTTGGCAGTGGTAGTTCTCTAATTTATTACTAATGTCATTTGCTTTTCAAATGTTTATGCACATTCGAATTTCTCATATGTAGCTTTTCTATAACTTTTTTTTTTTCTTTTGGTTCTAGGAGAGGAAACAAATGTGGAGCGACTAAGTGAACAAGCAATGATCACCAGTGTTTTTTTTTTTTTTTTTTCTTTTATCGATTATTTTTTGTACCATTTAATTTTGGAATCCTCACATTTGAATAAGCTGATTTCATATTTTATTCGAAATGACTCGCTTTTTTCCCCCCTCCCTATACATTGATGAATCACAAGAGGAACCCCATTTGTCGTACTAATTTATAGAATAGAAGAATCAAAGAAATATGTAATAAAAAAAAAAAGACAGAATGTGTCAGTTTTCATTATAGCTGCTGTAAGATTTCCATTTTTTGCTTCTCCTACGCCAAGCTTCCTCTTTGGTTCTAAGTAGAGCTTTAAGCTTGCAGTCTAAGGAGAGAATATATTGTTGTCACACATGCATTTCCACACCTGTGGATAGTACTCACTCTCTTGCAAATTATCAACTGTTCTTATTGATACTTCAACCGGCCTGCATGGTTCACATTCGTTGCATTTCGAGTTACATGTAACCGGAGACGACCCTCTCTCCGCCTTCTTCATAATCACTCCTTTTGATGGCTTGGGGACTTCTGCTATTGGCATCACATTGGCCTGTAAAAAAAACAAAATAAAATAAAAAGTGTGTTTAATTGCAATAACTAGAGTAGACTATTCGAGTTTAGAACTCGAGTTTTGTTACAGTAAAAAACTCTCAGAAACAGTTACATTTAACTTTTTTGTTACAATAAAAAGCTCTCACATAAAGTCACATCTCAACTCGAATTAAAAACTCAAATCAGCGAACTAAACGGGCCCTAAGAATGAGAGCTTATGTGAACTTGCATTGAAAGAACTCACTGGAGAAGGCGATGGAGAACTCGGTAATAGGCCTGGGTGAGCTGCACAAGAATGAACGACCGTGGTGATCATCAAGAGGGCAAAGATGAATCTTCTAGATGTTGCTTCTTGATCCATCTTCTGTGAAGTATGTCTCTAAGTTCAAGGCAAGTGAGGTTTGAGTAAGATTCTCAAGAATATTTATAGGAAATTTGCAGTATTTGGAATAGTTCAGAGAGAATAGTAGTAGTTAAAGTTGCATAAAAATTCCTAGAATAACTTTACAAACAAAAATATTAAATCTTTAAAGCGAACTAGAACTCTAAAATGGCCTTAGAAACAAACTCTACTTGAGAACTATGATACAGATGGGAAGGAAATATTCTAGTTTTACCTGGATAAAGAAAGTTAAAGGGTGTCTGAGATTGTGCTGTAATTGATAAGCTTCTGTGGCCTATACACTTAAATTCTTCTGTTGGTCTTGTCCCAAAGAGCCTAGTGAAATCTACTCCATATCAGTATGTAAACAGCAGCTGTTTTTGAGTTTGTTCAAGAGTTGTTTTTAGTGAGTTCTTGGAATTGGTCCTGCACAGCTCAAGGGCAAGTATGTCTTGTTGGAAAGTGGTTGAAACTTTTAAGTAAGATATTGAAACGGTCAATATTCTCTTCACGTGCAAGTTACTGTCATCCCCCTAAGGCTGCAGAATATGCAAAAGATGCTGACTTGTGTAAGAATCTGGTCAAGAAACTGATAGGACAAATGACTACTTATGCTTGTTGTCCCTTGTTTGTTTGTTTGTTTTTTTTTAAATAAATAAATATAAAAATGTGGGAAGAGGGATCTCCTAGGTGTTACCAAATGGGGTCTCTAACTCTAACAGAAATGTTCGTTGAAGGCCTTATTGGTGAGTTTTCTATTGAATGTTCTAGCAGTAATGATACATAAGGCGTGATCCTAAATACTCTAAATCGAGCACTAATTTGACAGGACCACTATGATAGTCCATTACCGCTAGGCCACCTCACTCATTGGTTTGTTATCCCTTCGTTATTCCTTATAATTCAAATCTTACAATTAGCTAATGGATTTCATTAAACTGATATAAATAAATATCTCAGTACAACAGCAAATTACTACTCTGCTATGGTTACATAATTGAAAACCCCTCTTTCCCTTTAATAACCAAGTCCATACATAACATTCAAAACATCTATTAGTACCCCATTTCACTCGTCACTAGATAATAATAGCATTTATGAAGATAGAAACGTCTCATCAGCTTCACTCTCGGCCAGTCTCACATTGAGACGGTGCCTAACTTGGCGCTCACTAGGAGAACCAACAATAAGAGTGTGTTGTCCAATGACCAACTTTCTATTCCCTTCACTGTCCACAAGGTTAAGTCCCTCGCACAAATCCAACTTCACAGTCATGGACTCTGTCTTCCCATTCATCACCACTACTCTCTCAAACCCGACGAGCTGCACATTTGGTGCGCCACTCAAGTCCTTAGAGCTCGGCGGCTTCCAGAACACTAGCACCACATGAGATCCGTCCCTTGGCCCGCTGTTCCTCACGCCGACGGAGATGTCAAACGTCAGGTTCTGGCAGTTTATTGCTGAGATATCGATTGCTTGGCCGGCAAGAAAATGTTTTGGTTGTATGGATTTGGAGGATAGAATGTTAAGTGGTTTGGAAGTGGATGTTGGTTTGATTACTACAGTGGTGGGAGCAGATATGAAGAACTTTGAGAATACTGAGTAGCTTAGACCATGGCCAAACTCATAAATGGTTTTTCCAGTGTAGAATCTGTAGGTTCTACCTGGGAAATTGTTGCTAGTGTTTTCTCTCATGTTCATCTCTGTCATTGGCACTTGATCTGTGTATTCTTGTGGGTACCATGTGAAGGGACTCCTTCCACCTAATAATGTGGACAAAGTTCAATTGAGAATACTCAAAAGAATAAGTGAAAAAAAAAAAAAAAAAAAAACAACAACAACAATTGAGTGTATCCAAAGCTTTAAATATTAGCTAGGGCTTTTCATTATTGGTTTGGTCGAAAACGCCACCAACCAAATAAATAATGTAAATAGATTTTTGATCGGTTTGGACGGTTTAAAATTTTTAAGAAAAAGTAAATCATATATAACCAGTTGGTCGGTTTAGATTTATAATTAAAGTAAACCTTAACTATTTAAAAGGTTACTTAACATTATTAATTATTAATAATTAATTTTTTTTAATTATTATTATTTTTTTAGATCTTTTAACTATTTAAAAGTTTACTTAAATTACAAGCAAGATAACATGTATGAAAAATTGAAAATAGAGAGAAAGATGAAGATAAATATATATTCGTATATACATATTTTCCTAAGGATTGTAAAAGAATTTTGGCTGCTCTGACCAGTTTCTTAGTTTGAAATATTTAAAACAACTAACCAAATCAATAAAACGAAAATTTTCAAACCGAACAAACTAAATTAATTAATAATAAAAATCATTCGGTTTTATTTAGTTTGGTCGGTTTCCACTAAGTATATTAGGGAGGAAAAATACCCGGATTATAATCTCCAAATATGACTTGAGCTATTGCATCCCCTCCATCTTGCCCCGGATAGCCTACCCACAAAATTCCCCCAACTTTGCTCAAATTCTTGGCAAATGAAACATCAATGGGACCAGCCGACATGACAACCAGAATGACTGTTCCATTCGTGGAATTAGCCACTTGTTTCACAAGCTTTTCCTGAAAACCAGGCAGTGTCAAGTTCTCTCTGTCCAGCCCCTCTGCTTCTATGGACTGATCTAGCCCCATCACCGCCACCACGACATCAGCGGTGGCTGCAGCCTTGGCCGCCGCCTCAATAAGGCTCTCACTGCCGCATTTGACGTTGCTACACCCGGGCTCATATATCGCGGCCTGCACATACTTCTTTAGCCCTTGGAAGGGGCTAGTGTAGCCACAAGGGATACCGGCATAGTTGCTTATCATAGCATTGGTGGCATTGGCATTGGGTCCTACAACAGCCAAGTTCTTGACTTTGTCTGGTGACAAAGGAAGAATTCCATTGTCTTCTAGCAACACTATCCCCTGCTTTGCAGCATCAAGTGCCAAACTTTTGTGTTCATCTGTGCACACATCAGCCGGTCCAAGATTCCCGTATGGACCCGATTTCGGATTCCCGTCAAAAAACCCAAGTCTCATGAGGGTTACATAGTTGTAAATCAAGGCCTGGTCTACAACAGACTCATCCACTTTTTTCAACTGAACAGCATTGGCTGTGTATTTTCCTAGGTAATCACCACAGTTCATGTTCAAACCTGCACGATCAAACACCAAACATGTTATGTTTGGTAAGTTAGATTTTTTTTTTGGTTCAAATGTTACAAGTTTCTCCATTAAAATGGCCTTTTGTGCGTGCAATTATTAGTACCTGCCTTCAAGGCAAGGGCTACTGCATCCTCAGGTGTTGCAGTGTAATGGATAGAATTGTAATATACTTCAATTGAGTCGCAGTCTGAAGCAATGTATCTGTTCATATGTGCAAGCAACAAGTTTCATAGAAACACAAGGAAAATAACAAGTTATTCGTGCAATAATGTTATAACATTTTCTGAAATTCTTTGCCAATATTGACTAGTTATTGGCCTATGCGACTTTCTGTAGACTTTCATTACTACTCTTTTCATTCATTTTCTAAGGACCCTGCTCCTAATGCATATTTCTAAGGCTAATCTTGACAAATATCTTTTGAAAAGGTATGAGTCAAGATTTTTACTCTTTATTCTTAATTTAGAACTTTTTTAGTCAAATAATTACACTAATAAAATGATATTTATCAATAGTAAGAGGTACAGATCCAGACTCATGTACTCTCAAGATAAATTCTTCATTTCTTCTCTTTCTAATTCTTTGCCAATACAGGCTCTTTTTGATTTGTATGCAGAAGCTTATGGGGCCGTTTACTTCATATACTCAAACTCAAAATATTAATTCTGTTATAGTGTTTTATTCTTCCAAAAAATTTAAATTTTCAATGTCAAAATCAAGAATTATATTTTGAGTATACCTTTTAAATGAGCTCAATGTGATTTAAACGTTTTTTTTTTATTTTTTAAACTGAAAAATCTGATTATTATTATGTTTTTTTATGTTAAAGCTGGATAAAGAGGTTTGGACCGAGTTTTAAAATTCGAATGGAGCCCCTATTTTGTCTCTCCAAACGCGGTTTTGGACTTGGACCGTTGGATTCAAACTCATGTCCACAATATAGTTAAAATCACATCAAATTTAAAAAAATATATAAGATTGACAAAATCTAATAAATTTTTGACACTTTAAAACAATATTCTATGAGTCGAATATATCCATACGAAGAATCCTAGCCTCCGTTTGGTTCGTTAGTTTGAAATTTGTTAATTTATACTTTTTTATTTAAATAGAAAAGTTCAAACTGTATAGTTTAAATTATAATTTGAATTGACGTTTGGATATGTAGTTAAAGTTTTAATTTGAACAAGGAATAAAATTCAAATTTGTGTTTGGTAGGTGTAAAAAGCAGAGAGAGTAGACACCTTTTACTGTTTAAAAATGGTTTGAACGGTTGAACTTGAGGGAAGGGGAGAGTTTAATAACTCATTTTAAACATGGAATATAATTCAAACTAAATGTTTATCAAACACCAATTATGTTCACCGTTTAAACTGAATTGAACTAAACTAAATCAATGAAATAAACGAGGTCTATGTCATTTTTTTTGGAGTAGCAGCTATAACTATAGGCTTAACATGTGTAAAGCTTTAAGGAAAAATTTACCCGTCCAGACCCCACTGGCCTCTGATCACCCCTTTGAGAAGGTCCGGGTCAGCACAGGTGGGAATCCCATTTACTCTGTTATATGAGCACATCACACTGCTGACGTGGCCCTTCTCCACACAGCTTTTGAATGGTGGCTGATACGTGTCCTCTAAATCCTGCTTTGTCACCTATAACACCAAATCCCCAACAACATTACGTATAATTATTCATGGTAATGCAATTATACAGTCATATTTCATCCTTTTCTTTTCTTTTAGTTGGTTAGGGAATTAGAGGATAATTTCAAATTCACAACTACCCCTATGAACTTTATAGACGCAATGACAGACCTAGGTGACAAAATTATGATATTATATGGAAAAATTAATATGATGTTGTTACTCGTTAGTGATGAATGAAAATGTTTTTTTTTTTTTTTTTTTTTTCTCTCTCTATGTCATAAGCACACCACTTTTGTTTGATAAGGTAAAGAATGAGATATATCACAACAAATGTGAGCTACATATATATTTACAATCAATACCAATATAAGACAACTCCAAAGAGATATTATATTGAGTGAGACACTATATTATATATTATAAAAAGCATACTAAATAATTACCTTGGCATCAAAATGAAACCGATCAACACCTTTCCAATTATCAACATCATAAGCGGTGTAGTGTTTGCAACAACTAGAAACCTTAAGCCTATCACCCTGATTACCACCACTACCTTCCTCATTACTCATTTCTTGGAGACCTTTCACATAATTCACTGCATACTTGGACACCACAAGAGGGTCCTCCCCCGGTGTCTCCTGCCCCCGGCCCCACCGGGGGTCGCGAAACACATTGACATTCGGGCTCCAATACGTCAACCCGGCGAGGCCCGCGTTGTACATGGCCCGAGCCTCAGTCGACACGGCCTGCCCCATCTTATACCACAATGACGCATTGAAAGCCGCCGCGGAGAGGATCACTGCGGGGAAACTAGTGGCACCGGGGACGGTGGCGTTGAACGTAGTCCCCGGTCCAACGTTCGAGACCCCGTGAAGGGCCTCGGACCACCACTCGTAGGAAGGCACACCGAGGCGGGAAATGCCCGCGCTTCCTGAGACTAATTGTTGGACTTTCTCTTGGAGAGTGAGGCGTGAAATTATGTCTTTGGCTCGGATGTCGTATGACAAGGAAGTGTCGCAAAATGGAAATTGGGATGCTTGGGGGAAACTTGTCACGTCGCATGCATGTTTTTGAGTGGCAATTGGAAGTATTTGAATTATAAGGAGAGAAAGAAATTGTGGAAAGAGATAAATTTGGTAGTTCTTCATGGGGTAGTGTAATTTTTGGTTGGCTTTTTTTTTGTTTGTGTGTGTGTGTGTGTTTTGGTTTAAGGATTGTACCATTTTGGTGGTAATATTTATAGTGGAAGATTGGACTAAACTGGACTTGAGATCTTCGTTATCTTTTGAGATTGGAAAAGGGTAGTTGCTTGCAGATTCAGGAAGAAAATTGTTTATGTGTTGTTGTAGAGTGTGGAATGATATTACAATGCTTAGCAAAAACAAAAGCTTCTTTTGCTCTTAGTGGTGTGCTAATGCCTAATAATGTGCAACGACCGACAAAACAATCATCTTTCACCATGTAAAAGTACCGGTCCAATTACGTACTCTTTATAAAGAGCAAGACTCAAACCTCAAGAGTAAAAATCAGCATACACAATATTAAGATCATGGTGAGACACACACACACACACACTCAAATATATATATATATATATATGTATGTATGTATTGCTTCTCAACATGATCAACGTAAAACTAAGAATATAAGGGAATGGGACACCAGTATTCATCACATATGACAGCACACTTGGTGATAATAGAATAAAATGTCGCAAGAAAAAAGATAATATATGGTGCATCACAAGTAATAATGACAATTGGCATATTTTTGGGGGAATATGCATCTTTTGAAATGATCTTTCGTGTCGGTTCTCATACTTAAACGAAGTTTAAATTAGTTATAGTTCCGTTTTTTTCATTTAATTATGACAGTCCCCTCTCATAGGGTGGTTATTTGAGTTAAAAACTAGATAACACGAATTACCGGCCAAACACAGTTTAAATTGTTTAGTTTTGGTTTTTTTTTTTTCACTTAAATATTGTGGCAGTCTCGGCAGTCTCGCGGGATTTGAGCTATGATATGATAACATGGCTCGAATTATTTGATCCAAATAGCTATATATTATGACCAATATGTTGATGAATAATTCTTAAAAAAATAAAAGTTTCTGACAAATTTAATTTGAGAAAAAATAAAAATATAAAATCAGTAAGTATCTAAATTTTCAAAGTGTATATATAGATTAATTAAGTAAATTAACCCTCAATTGTCTATGTTATGCGTGACAATATTGATTTAAGCAACCTTTTCACTAAATAGATTACACGCGGGTCAACGTAAAACTCGATGCAATTATATGAGTCGAAACGAACCTGACTCAAATTACCACCCGTTTACCTTATCCATTTGGGCTGTTCACGAGCGCTTGATTCAAATGAAATTGGCAGTACACCTAATTGTGTGTAGAATCATTGTGCACGATGCATATGGAATCAATAATAATCTATTTAGCCTAAATTATTTAAATCTTAGCGTATCACTTTAGAATGAACTTAATCTTATATGACAGTCTGCAACACATAATTATTTATATATAAGCTCAATATTAAATTAAGGATCTAACACGTGATGCATATGGAATCAATAATAATCTATTTAGGATCTACTGTTAGGATTCCACATGATGAGAAGTTTCACATTGATGTGTAAGAGCTATCTCCTGTTGCCATATCATATAAGCAATTCGTGATTCGATAAGCAAAAATAAATGAGTGACATATAAAGCATTTCATGTGTCAACCCAAGTAATAAGATACGAAATAAAAAGAAGTAAAGATGAGAGATGGGAAGGGGTGTCTTAGAAGGATTTGTTGAATAAAAAGTTCGCTTCAAAAGGCGACACATGACCTGTTGGGATAATCTTAGTGAACAACAATGAGTTTTACATCACCCTCAGAAACTGAGTTAATAAACGACAATGCGTTTAGAAGCTCTGATGAAGTACTGAGCCGCAGGATCACGTGAAGGCTGCATATCTCTTGCTACAGTCGGTGAAAGAATGAAACAAAAGGGGTCTGCGACCTAGGGCTCATCATTCATTCGACTGAAGAAAGATTGAAGAGCTTCGACCATTAAAGGAGAGAGAAAACTGCAAGAGAGATTAGGGTTTCCAGAGAGAGAGGAAAATCTGTATTGTGATTGAGAAAATCAAGAGAGAAATTGAGTGTTCTTTCTTACCTTCTGGGTATTTTCTCTGGGGATTTTTCTGGGGAAATTGTAATCTCTGGGTTGTGTGGTATTCTTGAGTGAGATTCTTGTAATCGGAGAGGTTTGAGGGTGTATTACTCAATCTTTGATAGTGTATCGAGTTCTTCGTGAGAGAGCTCAACGGGGACGTAGGGGATTTCTTGCCCCGAGAACCTCGGTAAACCCTTGGTGTTTCAATTTCTATTTTGATTCTGCTTTCTCTGAGTATCTTGAGTCTGGTGTTGGTCTCGTTCCAACATAACCAGTGATGAAGGGAGCATAGGCCTTGGGGAGCTCAATGTTGTTGTTTTTTTTTTTTTTTTTTTTTTTTTTTTTTTTTTTTTTTTTTTTTTTTTTTTATAACACCTATATGCACATAAGTATATATACAATAAATTAGACAACCCCTTTAAAAAAATAAAAATCTAATATATACTCCTAAAATTTTTAAAATACAATATATAATCACAAGAATCTTGAATCCTTGCTCTTTTTTGTTTTTGTTTTAATTGATATCTTTTTTTTTCTTACTTTTATGTTTATTTTTTCTCACTGATTTTGTAGCTCTTTTTATTTGATTAACTTATAGCGGTATAATCCATAGTTGAATTTTTAAGGAATTTGAGTATTAACATTGCTATTTTGTGAATAGGATTTGATTAGTAAAATACAATACACTATTATATTGACATGTTCATTTGTCAAAATAAAAATAAGAATTTTAATTAAATGTGAAATATTTTTCCTTTAATATTTAAGTAGCAATTTGATTGAACAATTATGCGAATGCATTTCAAAATAAAATTAGAAAACTCTCCAATTCTACTGGGTAAAAATGACAATAGTACTAAATCATAAATCATGTAGGTGGGCGATGACCAAGGCAAAGATTAAAATGAACACACAAAAAAAAAAAAAAATCACACTGACATATGTACATATGAGATAGAAAGCATGATTATTAGTCAAAAGTTGATGGAAGATACTCTCCGTTTTTGGCCGAATGCTTGGCGGTCCGTGAGGAGACCCGGGTGGCACGCAGGGGTGGATTCACAAATTGAGTTGTTGAGTCGGATGCTATAAATGTTGTCAGTGCTGTTAGGAATCCGACTTCAAGAATTCTCGAAAGAAGCTATGTCTCAAGCCGTCAGTGGCTCTGTTCGCTACGTTTCTAGGCAAGAAAACTATGGTCCCGTAAAGAAGCTATGTCTCAAGCCGTCAGTGGCTCTGTTCGCTACGTTTCTAGACAAGAAAATTATGGTCCCGTTTATTTCGTTGATTCGAATTTTTAATTCGAGTTGAGATGTGATTTTATGTGAAAATTTTTTACTGTAGTAAAAAAGTTAGATGTGATTATTTATAAGAGCTTTTTACCGTAACAAAACTCAAATTATAAACTCGAATCAGTGAAATGAACGAAGCTAGCCCACTTCTTGGCTAATTTTCTTTGTGTGCATTTTAAGAATTCTCTTTGGGAAGACTCTTTACCAAGTTTTATTAGCTCCTATGTAATGGCTGATTTGCTTTCTGTTTAATAAAAGTTCTCTTTTCCTTCAAAAAGAAAAAAAGGTAGATTAATCATTAATGTAATAAGAGCTATATTTATTTTGTGCTTCAACAGTTCAATTACGGTTGCTTGAGGTGCACATAAAATATCATACAAACTAATGAGTAATAGGTCAAGTAGATAAGGTCTATGATATTCTTTTCCCACGTCATCATGGAGCAAAAGAGAAATTATTCATTTAGATTAAAAATTAAGTATCAAATTTGATTTACTCAACATAAATAATAGTTAACGCCCAAAAGTTCAGAATCCATCATTTTATCAAGTGGCTTTAGAATGACTTGTCATTGGGATGTTGTATCAATGTATATTCTCGCTGCCTTTTTTTTATTATTAATTACTTTCCTAATGAAATGACCATGTAAAATTGTTAAACACTCATAGGACGTTCGGTTCATGAATTTAAAACTATAATTTATGAGTCTGATTTTTGAAATTCAAAATTTTTGTAAGAAAAAAACACTATAGAGAACTAAAAATTATGATTCAGAATCAAGAATGAACCCTTAGAACAAACATCTCATTAACTATTTTGTGTTTCAATTATCAATTCTACCGAATTGTCTTTTTTATATACTTATACTATATGTATTAGAGTCTAATTATCCTATGCTTTAATTGTAATTTTATAAATATATTATAATCTTCTTCTCAAATAAAATAAAACCTAATATTAGGAGAGTACAAAATCGAAACATTCACCATTCATCATCTTGAGCATATGAATATCATTTCGATCTCTTCACGGCGGAGAACACAAATTTAAATTGAACTGTCTAAACAATGGTAAAAGTTTTTCTACTTCAATATTTCAAGACGTTTATATATATATATATATATATATATATATAAGTGAAATGAATAACAAATCAAACTGTAATCCTATCTATGGAAAGTTAACTACAGCAAATTACATATAAATATAAGGAATCACAGATGAATGATATCGTTGATGATTTGACATTAATTGGAGAATTATCGTCAATGTGATTATGAGAATTATTTTCAATTATCTTCCTTGAATCTCTCTAATACCGTCACTAACACAAAGTGAGTCATTCTCAAAATCGAACCTTAAGATAATACCTCAAAAAATGGTTTCTAACAGCTTGAAGGAGACACCACGATTGTAAATGGGTTTGATTTCAGGGATTCGCTGTAGTAACACAAGTGAGATCCAATTTTGATGTTGTTTTTTATTTATTTATTTTTATTTTTTTAATGATGTCCGCAAAACTAGTATTTTACAGAATTGGATATCTGTTAGCAGTGTAATACCGCAAAGAATCCGTAGCTCTATATGCTTTGTGGAGACCCTCATAAAATACTTCAGTTTGATCTAACAGATCTCGGGATCCATTTGATAGTTCACGACATCTCTGGTATTTGGCTCTCATTAGTACCTCCCAAGTATAGGCC